GATTCCCACGGCTGGCCGTGGATCGGGTCAGGACGTTTGTGACCGAGTCCCAGCAAATTACAGTGGCAGAGTAGAAAAGGGTAGATCAGATATCATGCTGTTATGTTGTATTTCATGCCATTATGATCGCTCTGTGGTTTAAGAATGAGCCTTACACTGTATCTTTTTACAGTCTTTTGTTTTCCCTTCTTTTGTTTTGTTTTTAGGGTTGGTAAAGTTTCAGCCATCCCTCTGGCCTTGGGATTCAGTGAGGAACAACTTAAGAAGCGCCTTGACCGAGATGTGTGTGTTGTATGACGTTCTTAGTATCGTCAAGGATAAAAAGTTCATGACTCTAGATCCAGTTGTGCAGGATCCCCTTCCTCCAAAACAGGTATATTGTACCTAGTTGTGTAGTTTTTATGGCTTGATACTAAAGACTTTATTTCACTGGAATTTTTCATGTATGATACATACAAGATTTAGTAAAATGTTCCTTGTGAGGTGCTTGTACAGTGTTTTATGGGTCAGGGGAAGGCTGAGAATGGGAGGTGAGGCTGATTTCAAAGGCCTCTTTGCTGAAGCTGTAAGTCAAAATGCTGCTTGTGGCTATACAATATTGCATGAAAGTTACTCTAAAAAAGTTACTGAACATCCAGCAAAACCAACTTATTGGTCACTGTCAATTAGTTCCACTAATAATAATTTTTGGAGAATTAAGATACATACAAGAAGTTTTTCTCTTTATTTGTTACTAGAATCCTCAGTTTCTACAGTTGATTTCAAAAAAGAAGTCATTAGCTGGAGCAGCTCAAATCCTTTTGAAAGGCGCAGAAAGATTATCCAAATCGGTTGCAGAAAACCAGGAAAATAAGCGACAAAGAGACTTCAACTCTGAACTGTTAAGACTGAGACAACATTGGAAGCTGAGAAAAGTGGGAGACAAAATTCTTGGCGATCTGAGCTACAGAAGTGCAGGTAAACAGTAGGGTCTTTTGTTTTTCTCAAGAATGGATATTTATATTTTACAAATAACTTTTTGTAACTGGAAAATTCCATTTGTTGATGGGACATTTTTAATAAAAAATAATATCAGATAATAAAATATTATTATAGTTACGAGACAATTATAAAAGGAGGAAACTTGTTTTTTTGTCAGGGAAAATATCCTGCCATCCTCAACCTAGAAAGTGATTTTAAAAGCTGACTGTGTAGGATTATAGTAAAGATTCCTTTACAGAAGCAATTCTGCATTGATGATGTAGTTGATCAGTTGACAGGTGGACATTGTAAATCTTTGGCTTTTATCTACATTCGGTCTGTCAAGCATTTCTAAAAGATTGAGGAGCATCTTGCATTTTTCTCTGAGTGAAGGCAGATTTATTATACCTATTATTCCTACTCTTATGAGAAATGATACTGAGAATATGTATTATTTCATAGAATACAGTGAGAGAGGGTAACCAGCCCAGAGTTCTGGAGCCAATTATGGAGTGAAGAAGTGAATACAGAACCTCACCAAACTTAAGATATAGATACAAAGCAGGCATCTGAACTGGTTGTGCTGTGCTCCAGTTGTCATCATTGTCAAATTTAGGGTTATTAATCTTATGTTCATGAAGAAGCTGTAGATGTAGCCCAGATTATGTCTCTTTTTAGATGATTTATCGTAAACTAGATGAACCGTGCCCTGGATGTAAAAGCGATGCAACTAGGACAGATGTGGGCATCTGTCTTTATCAGTCCCACCTGAATGACTGGCTGTATGGCTGGTTTTTACAGACTGAACACTGTCATAGTTTTAAGACTGCAAGCCAAACATCATCAGCATTCCTTTAAATCAATAGGGGTGTTGCACCTTAAGCTACTTGCTTGCAAAACTTCAGGCAGTTAATTTTTTTGTCTTGTTTTAACCAAATATCTTTTTTTCTCCTTCCCTGCTTCTGCTGACACCATTTCGAAACATTGTTGGTTTTCTCCCATAACTATTAAATACTACTTGCTAACTTGCTGTAAAATATTGCACATCACACACTGGAGGATTGAGATGCTGATGTGCTGAAATGAGCATTCTAATTTACCTGCCACCTTAAGAATTCATTAAAAAATTTGAGTCAAGCACAACTATGGAGGTCTGGAGACTTAGAAATACATGTTCTTCCAAAATGGAAGTATGAGATTCATTATTTGCAGAAGATGCTTTATGGTGTGTGTGTCTTTGCCTTCCTTAGGCTCCCTTTTTCTTCATCATGGCACATTTGAGGTGATAAAGAACACTGACATTGACTTGGATAAAAAGATACCTGAGGATTACTGTCCTTTGGATGTTCAAATTCCAAGTGATTTAGAAGGATCAGCCTATATAAAGGTTTGCCAGAGAAACTTTAATAATACAGCATGGGTTTTGTTTTGTCATTTGTATGCTTGCAGCAAAGCACAAACATCAAATAATGTTTTCTTTTGCCTAGGTTTCTATTCAGAAACAAGCTCCAGACATTGGTGACCTTGGGACAGTCAATCTTTTTAAAAGACCCATGCCAAAATCAAAACCAGGTATAGCTAGCTATATGTTGTTTTCTGAGCACATTCTCAAGAAATGAGTTTGCATCTAATGTTTATTTGAAAATTCTAGCTTGAAAGAAGAGTGAACAAGAATATTCTTATTTAAACTGAAATTTTCTGTGTAGGTGCTGCTTGGGCTTTGGAAAGATGATGCTTTCAAAGTGTACTCCTTCAGTTTTTCATATGCGTTTACTCAATTTCTGAAATAAAATTACTAGGATTGTATTTTAGATATTCTGGAGCACCTTTCATTAGTCATTAGAGTTTGAGCACATAACCAAAAGCAAACCAAAGTATTGTGGCTCAACTGGACTAAAGATCCATTCACTCTTAACTGTGCCCAAAATGCATCATTTGTTTCTGTGGCTCTGATGTTTTCTCTGAATCTGAAAGTGTGCTGGCAGCATGTGCATTAATTACCAAAGCTCACCTGGCAGATAGTAGCTTGATTCATTTGATATGTGACAGTACCTGAAGGTGTAAACCTTTGGGATTAAAAATTCATCCTTAACTCTTTAGGATTAAAAATTCATTCTTAACTCTTTAGGATTAAAAAGAACTGGCAGGATTTTATGTCACAGTGATCTGTGACACAGATGCTTGTGCTGTCTTGAACATAGACAGGATGTTGTATTAAGTAGAGTTTCATATGGTATTCAGGGTACAGTATAGAGCTTGTGTACTTACTCAGACCAGAATCTTCCAAGAATTTGGGGCCTATAAATCCTGTGAAAGCACGTACATGAATTTAACATTATTTGGGGGTTTGTTGTAGAGTGAATTTAATAAAGCTAGAAGTATCGTTGAAAGTAAATTGCAACTTAAGAGACAGGGTTCATAAGCAGAGTTCACAAAAAGCCTCGGAATGTAAGGCAGTTCCAGAAGGGAGGTACAGTTCACAATATACATATATGTAAAATTGAAGTAAAATGCATTAGTGTTACCTTAAAGTGCTTGCTTAACTGAGATAAAATTCTGAAAATACTCAATTTGGTTAGAAGATACTGACTGCCTTATCTTAGCAATTACTCATAGCTACTGCACAGTATCTGGTATCTGAAGCTACCTATGTAGCTTCTCTTTACTCTTTCCTTCTGCAAACGTTGATTTATATTTTTCAGGTTCTCCACACTGGCAGACAAAGTTGGAGACTGCACAGAATGTTCTTTTATGTAAAGAAATTTTTGCCCAGCTGTCACGAGAAGCTGTTCAAATTAAATCACAAATTCCTCACATTGTTGTGAAAAATCAGATAATCTCCCAGCCTTTCCCAGGTAGGAAACTTTTTAAGACTTCTTGACCTACAATTATTTGCCTAAACATGAACTGAAATTCTGGGGCAGGGGAGTAATCTCCTTGTTTTTCAAAGGTTTTGAAAAACAGAATTTCCCAGAATTTGAATTTTGCTTGCTAATTATAGAAAAATTCAACTAATACACTTTAGTTTCTAATTTACTCTTTTTATTGTGTGGATTTTGGATTGTTTTGCTTTGTGATTGTATTTTTTGTCAGTAGCACTTAAAGCTGTCAACTGTAATGCCATGTGCACATTGCAGTTTGGAGCTGTGCATAAGTCATTGCTCCTGGTTTGCATGCAGGTGAAATTTAAGACTTGAGTTAATGAGTCTTCAGAAGAATGGAGGCTAATACTCTTCAATGAGGGTAATTAAATAGCGTGAAGATGGCTCAGAGTTGGGTGATGAGTCCTCTGTTCTTACAAGGAGTACACAACTGATTATATCATGTGAAGAGTATGTTTCTGGATTGCTTAAAATTTGTATGATGGTAAATCATTCCTTCTTTGTGGAAGGAATGGGGTCCTGGGGACTCTTCTTTTTGTGTGGGATTGAGTCATAGAAATCGGTGTGAAATGTACCTAGTGATTTATTAGTTGGCCTGTCAACTCTTCAGTGAGTCCCAAGTCTTACTTGCCTTTGGTATTCTGCTCTCCAACATCGTTCTTTGATTTTTCTCTGATACGGTAAATACTGGTTGTAAAACTACTGACTATAAAACGTGAAGAAAAAGCAGTTCTCAGAAGCCTGCTTGAAAATTGTCAGTGTCCTCATTTATCTCTTTTTTTACCTGCTTGTACAGGTTTGCAGTTGTCTATTTCTCTGTGTCACTCTTCCAATGACAAAAAATCACAAAAGTCCGCTTCTGAAAAACAGAATCCAGAGGATCATCTCTATGTTCTGGAACATAATTTGCATCAACTTATCAGAGAGGTAATGCATTTACGGTCAAGTACTGAAGAGTTTTTGGGCTTTTGTTCAGACTTCTGCATAGTGTGTGGCACTGTTGTAACAACAGTGTTCCACTAGAGGCCAGTCACATTCTATCCATTTGTGTAAGGCAACCTACGGTTCAGTTTTAGTATGTGTGGGTGGTTAAGGAGTTCTTTACTAAATAAAGAACGCTAGTAGTTTTTTACTTAACCTCAGGCCTGGCTGCTCACTTCAGAAAAGCAATGCAAGATTTTTCCAGTACAGCTCATCAGTCTCCCTTTTATCTTTCTGTTTAATTAGTGCTTGTCAAGTACTTGTCAAGTGAGTATCTGTTCAGACTCCCGTGAAGAAAAAACAGCCAACTACCATAATAACTTTGCTTCTTTTGAGGTCCGCTTCTCTGCTTCAGTGTTTTAGATTTTTATATAATCTAGCAGAAGGACTTGGGGTAGAAGGTTGAGATTGCGTCTGTTCAGGAAAGGAGCACAATTTTAGATGTCTTAAGTAGTTGTGAAACCGTGTTCCAGAGAGTGTTCATCTCCTTTGAGCATGGCTCTCCAAGTCGTGTGGAATAGTCCAGTGTTTCTGAACTAGGTTTCATGAAGCCTGGGCTCAGTGCCCAGCTCTGTTGTGAATTTCCTTTCTTGACTTTGAACAGGTTGCTAAATCTTTTTGTGCCTCAATTTTTTATCTCTAAAATCCTTTCTTTATTTTTGTTTGACCACTCTGACTGTCTCCAGAGATGTATACAAGGCAGACTTTTTAGTAGGAGCTACTGCCATACTACCAAATTTTTGTTAGCTAGCACCTTTTTTTAAAAATAACTTTCCATAAGGTTTGAGAGACCTGCATAAATACGGGAGGCAAAGTATGAGTGTAAAGCTGGCTTTAAAGTGCTGTTAAGTTTATAAAGTAAAAAAGTTGCACTTTTTCAAAGTATGTACACTTAAAAAGCCTGATGTGAAGCAGCATATTGTAGTATACATATTATTTCTTGAGGATACATTATTTGGTCACTTCCTTTTATAACATCTGTTGTTTGTTACAGTGTCACAAGCAAACCCTGAGCTCAACAGTGATGCCACATCCAGCTAGCGCACCTTTTGGCCATAAGAGAATGAGACTTGCAGGACCCCAGGCTTTTGATAAAAATGATATCAGTTCATTACAGTCGAATGAAGGACTTCTGGAAAAGATAATAAAGCAGGCAAAACATATCTTTTTGAGACGCAGGTAGGTCACAAGCTATTCTTGGTAAAGTTACAATAAAATGTACTATTATGTAGAATACAATTGATCTTTTTTCAGTGTTCTTAAAACTAGCTACTTCTTCCTTCACTGTTAAAATAGTCTTTATTTTTAAGTACTAAGAACCAATAACGTATCATGAAATACGAGGAAACAACACTTGGCTAGTAAAAAAAAAAAAAAAAAAAAAGAAAAAAATTCAGATTTCTTCGAGATCTCTGTGACAGTTATGATGTAGGCTGCTGATAATTGTCCCTACTTCTCTTAAACTGCATAAATCTTTTGTAGTATTCTTTGCTGTGCAGTAGCTGATACTGAGTAATACCACTCTAATACTGCTGCAAAATGTATCTGAAATGTACAGAGTAAACAAGCATTGCTTCATTAGCACCAGAATGGTGCTGAAATAGAACTTTGATCCACATGGTTCTGTTAAATTTGCCTTTTATTTTTCTGGTGTGCCACAAAAAAAAACCCCAAATTAAAAACCTACTCATTTCCTTTAAACAAGATAACAGCACAAACTGTCCAGATTATTTTGTGTGTAATATGTCTTTTGTCTTCTAGAACTGCACGAACCATTGACAGCCTGGCTAGTCGTATTGAGGATCCTCAGATTCAGGCCCACTGGTCCAATATAAATGATGTTTATGAATCCAGTGTTAAAGTTCTAATAACTTCTCAAGGATACGAACAGATATGCAAGTAAGTATGAAAATGCATGTATCTTTCTAGCTGTAGAAGAATGCAGCAGTGGCAGAGTGTATTCAAGTTGTGTTTTACAGGTTTAGATTCTCTTCAGACAGGCAAGTAAGAGCCCGTTATCTGTGTGCGAGTGTTTGTTTTTCTGAGTTGGGGGGGGAACAGCCACCCTAAGACAACTCTTCACCCACTTTACACTTTAATGAAGAATCTTAGTAATTCCTTTCGAAGAAGGAATTGAAGGTGAAAGTGGCCGTTTAAGGGGGGGATTTACTTTGGATAGAGATAGCTGAACATAAAGTATCTTTGTATGTGCTGGATTCTAAACTTCCAATCTGGTCATGGAGAGCTAGTCAATGCTCAGTCCTAGCTTCGTTGCATAGGTACTGAAATGTGGAGCTCATGTAATTCATGCTATTAGTTATACACATTGTCATCGAAATAAGAGATTTTGTGTTCCAGAAACGAATGTCTACATGCTGACCAGCAGTGAATTAAGCAGTCCTCTGGCTGTGTCCACAGTGTAGAGCAGACTGCAGTCACTGGTGCAATTTGCAGTCTCAGTTCCAGAGTACATATGCTCCGGAAGTCTTGGCTGTAGGATAGAACAGGCCCTGGGTACACACCATTTTCCCCTGCACCTCTGGAAGGAAACTCTGGGCATGGTGGCAGGCAGGGAGCTGTGAGGCACCTCAGGAGGTTCCTTGTCCTGAACAAGCAGTGGACCAGATCTGCGAACATGCCCCAGAATATGTCCCCTGCAGCATAGAGGGAGTTGTTGTGGTGAGTGATGAAACTGTTTGGAGTTGCTGTCGTATTCCATAGGCTTTGCACCATCCTCATCTTAGCTTTCTTGTCAATGAATGGGAGGGATTCTGTGTTCTTAGCTTCCTGTTTTCTTAAGTGTTGTAATGCATTTTGAATAAATATGCATCTTGTCTTCAAAGATCCATTCAACTACAGCTGAACATCGGAGTTGAACAGATCAGAGTTGTGCATAGAGACGGAAGAGTTATTACGTTGTCCCATCAAGAGCAAGAACTGCAGGATTTCCTTTTATCTCAGGTAGACTCATATACATGATTCTCCCCTTTCTTGTAGTGTTTGGGAAACAGAAGTAGTTAGAATCTCACCTTTATCTATGTAAAAAATGTTAGAAAACTCCAAATAAAGATAGTGAAAATAGGAAGATGGATGACTGAATTTTTCGGTATGTTTGTATAGTGACTTTAGCAATTGTTACTAAAATACAATGCCAGTTTTTACTAAGGTCAGTAGTAATAATAATTTTTTCCCTCCCATTTAAAATATATTTCTTTATGTTACTCATTACGGGAGCACTAAGATTTTTGCTTACTTCAGAACAAGTCAGTGAGAGTCATAGCAGACAATAAGGTATTCACTATATGAAACTTACTGTAACCAAGTCCTATCTAGAGTAGAGATCTTAATGAGCCTACAATTACTGTCGTTTCAACATTGTCTTGTTAATGTTCACTTTGCATCAGCCATTACTAAATCAGCTGATATTTGAATGAACTGCGTTTTCTTAATTGCTTAGAGCAAGCTGCTGGTTTTATTCAGAAGTGGCAGTCTCCCTACTATGCATTATAAATAGTCAAAATAAAGGTCTTTAATAACAGTGGTTGGCCTGTTGCAGTTACACGAAACTCCATGACACAGAAAACAGGTTGAAACAGATTCTGCTGAGGGTATCTCTTTTTGGTCAAGTGTTTTCAGACTTGTTCACAGAGAACTGCTGAACAGTGCTAGATACTTCCTTGTTAGAAGTGTTAAGTCTTGATACAGAAAAACATTAGCATTTAAACTTCTAAGTTGTTAAAGCTCAATCCTTACACTTGAGCATTAATGGAGATAATCATGCATCTGAGAACCTCAACTTTCCCCCCCCCCCCTAAGTTTGCTATGATAATATTGTCACAGATTTTATATATTTTACAGCAGAGGTCTCATTTCCATTCAAGGAAAGGATTATTTCAAAATCCTGTTTGTATCACTTGAAGTAGTTTTTGAAACCTAAATAAAGGTTTCTGTAAATTGAAAGCAATACTTAAATAAAATGCATAAGCCCATATACCTATGAAAAATTCATCTAACTGCATAGTGTGCTTAATACGGCGGTATTCTCTGTCTGCAAAGGAACTAGTCTAAATTCAAATAACACAAAGCTCTACTAGCACTTACATAGCATACATGTTAAAAAAAAGTTCCTCTGAAACTAGAGAACTGATAAGACAGTAATTTTTATAAATAACTACTGTACAGCAGAAGAAAAAAAGCTTGGTAAAACCAGTAAGCAATTCTTTCTGTGGTGTGCGAATATCGAACAGAAGACGAACCTCTTGTTATCTTTCAGATGTCACAGCACCAAGTACATGCAGTTCAGCAGCTTGCGAAAGTTATGGGATGGCACGTTCTGAGTTTCAGTAATCATGTTGGTCTGGGACCGGTGGAGAGCATTGGCAATGCATCAGCAATAACTGTAGCATCACCAAATGGAGACTATGCCATTTCAGGTAGTGTTTTCTATTGCAAATGATGGAAAATCGTAAAATTCTTAAGCGAATTCTACAGGCTTTGTAAGTCTCTTCCTGAGATAGTCTCTAGACTTTTATAGAATAATGTCAATTTATAGCAAAATATTCTAGAAACAATCTCTTTTGTGTATGGAATTGACACCTAAATAGAATCAATACTTTGCCCAGTAAACCACTTAATATAAACCTGACTTAATTTACACAGGCTTGAAAATATTTCTCAGAATTAGCATAGGAAAAAATAGATTACAGAAGCTATCAAGATCCTGAGAGAAGGGAACAAGTCAAACAGCAGGATCACAACTCTGGACTTAACAAGAACAGAGTTTGGTCTCTTCAGGGATCTTCTTGGAAGAATCCTATGGGATACCATCCTATGGGATGGAGAGAAGAGGGGTCCAAGAGAGCTGGTTGATTTTTTTTTTTTTCCCCCAAGGATCACCTCTTTCAAGCTTAAGAATGGTCATTCCTATGTAACGGAATGCATTACCATTTGTTGTGCAAAGGTGACAGAAGATCTGTGTGGATGAACGGGGAGCTCATGACTAAACTCATGACATAAAAAGGAAGCTGCAAGAGATTATAAGCAGGATCAGTTGACCTGGGAGGAAGATAGAGATACTGTCCAAGAATGCATTGGTGGGGATAGGAAGGCTAAAGCCCATCTGGAGTTGAATCTGGTGAGGGATGTACAGGGCAACAAGAAGAGCTTCAACAGGTATGTCAGCAGCAAAAGGAAGACTAGGGAAAATGTGGGCCTGCTGTTAAATGGGGAGAGGACCTGGTGGCACAGGACATGGAGAAAGCCAAGATTCGATGCCTTCATTGCTTTGGTCTTAAGACTGGTCTTCAGGTATCCCAGGTCCCTGAGACCCATGGGAAATTTTGGAGCAAAGAAGACTTACCCTCAGTAGCAGAGAATTGAGTTGGAGAACTTTTGAACAAACTAGACATACACAAGTTCACGGGACCAGGTGGGATGAATCCATGAGTGCTGAGGGAGCTGATTGATGCCATTATAAGGCCACTCTTGTTCATCTTTGAAAGGTCATGGTGATCAGGAAGGATTCCTGAGGACTGGAAGAAGGCAGATGTCACATCCTATATTCAGGAAGGAGAATCTGGGGAACTATAATCTGGTCAGCCTCATTGCAATTACTGGGAAGATGAGGCAAAAAAACAGTCCCAAAAGCAGTTTCCAAACATATTAGGAAGAAGGTGATGGGGAATAGTCAGCATTGATTTATGTAGGAGAAGTTATGTTCAATCAGCCTGATAGTCATCTCTTTGTAGAAGTCTAGCTTGGTAGCTCAGGGGAAAGCTAAGTGTTATCTCTCTGACTGCTTATTTAAAAAACAAACAAACACTACCACTACCCCCAACATCAAAACACAAAACCCCATCAAAGCCAATGGAACATCACCACCCCTCCACCAGTCTTGCAGAATTTTGTGATTAAAAGCAACAGCTATCCTGAGTGACCTCATTCCTGTCCATTTGAGATAAATACACTAGAAACGCTATCTTTTTGATCATGTTTTTCAACAGAATGGTGGGAAATATATCCAAGGTAAGAATCGGAAAAAAAAACCTTTGCTCTTCCTGGCATCATTAGGGAAAAATAAATTCATTTGCAAGGTGTACATGTGCGTTTTTTGTCAAATGTTTCTCTGGTTTGCTCTAACCAAAAACATGCAGTGCTAAAGCAACAAAATCATAGAGAAGTGGGAGAAAATTCAAAGAGAAAAACTTAAAAAAAAAAAAGAAAAAAAAGTAAGGTAGTTTCCCTTGTTTGCTTTCAGCATGTTTGGAATTGAGTAGGAGTAATGTACAGCATACACGAGGAAGGATATTTAATATGAGGAATTTCTGCAGTGTAAAAATGCTCATAAAAATCTCTGTTCATCACAGTACGTAATGGTCCGGAAAGTGGCAGCAAAGTTATGGTTCAGTTTCCACGGAGTCAGTGCAAAGATCTCCCCAAAGGCGATGTACTGCAAGACAACAAGTGGAATCATCTTCGAGGGCCGTTCAAGGAAGTTCAGTGGAATAAAATGGAAGGGCGTAATTTTGTGTATAAAATGGAACTCCTCATGGCTGCCCTAACTCCATGCTAATAATCTGTCAGCCTCTCCGTGGGGGCTTTGAGTCGTTGCTGTGCTGCAAATGATCACTGCCCATGCAGCAAAGGGAATCTATGGGGAAATACAAAAAAGCAAAACCAAATTTATTTCCTGTACAGATATGTCCATTGTAGTCTTTGTAATAAAACTTTTTTCAATGACATACAACTTTTTGAAAAAATTCCTTTCAGCTGTATCTTTGCAGATTGCTCTATCCAGAGTAACATAGCTGAGTAATTAATGTATTTTTCTTTTATAAAATTAAATTCAGTAGTCGTCTGCTACATGAAAGGTGTCTGCTCAGAGTCATTCCCTTTCCCCTCATGCCCCTACTTTTTCTCAATAGATATTTCTGAAGAATGAAAATTACTAGAATTGAATTGTGCTATCAATAAGCCTTTTGGTGGCTTGTGCCACAGGGAATGACTATCCTTGTGGAAGCTAATGGACTCATTTGATGAGAAGTGGGACAACAGAGGAGAAGCAGAGCTCCCTTGTCAAGAATTAAGGCTAAACAAAACTAAGATTCAAGGAACAGTATTCGCTGCGTGACGCTCTTGAGTTGGGGTTGGTTTGTGTTAACTGTACATTGATGTGGCTTCTGGGTGACCCATTTCTTTTTGAGGGATCTATTTACTTAGCGATTTGTTTAAGTTGAGAGCGTTAAGAAGTCACAGCTTGTGGCAAACGTCTTTCTTCTCTGATGCCTATAGATGAGCCTATATGGTGTTGGTTACTTTGCTTGTGTTTTCTGTCCTTGTTTTTTGCAAGCATGTAGAGGAAAGTCTTACTCTGCTTGCAAAATTCTGACAACTTGAGTTTGTGGGTGACTTGTGTAAATTCATGTCTGGATAGAAGCAGTAACTCTCATGCAGTAGACCTTTTTTTTTCCTGCACTGGCACTGATTATCATCCAGGAAAACAATAATATCCTCCTGAAGATCAGCTCTTTTAACTTCTTTTAAAATAAAAAAAAAAAAATCATGTTTTTGTCTTTTTTGGTTGTAATTGTAGCCTTCTTGAAGCTTCTAGTAAGGTGTTGCACAAAGCTTTTCTTTTGTTTAGTGATTGATTGCTAAAGGTCTTTTTGAAACCTGTCTGTATTAACTGGTTCAGACTTAAATCCATGTTGTGTGTTATGAGGTGTGTGTATGTGTATATATATATGAGAACTTCTTGCACATAGAACATGTTTGAATTGAACAGCATACTTGTATGGTGACAGTTGTTATTTTGCTGTATTTTTGAGCAATAAAGAGTAGTTGTAGGAAATATGTATTAAGCAACTGCTTGGGGCAAGCTGCTGCTCAGTATGTATCCAGAGCAGCTATTGTACTTATGCTGGTGTTTGCCAGTGTGAAACATCTTGTTATTTCAGTTCCTTGAAGTACTTGCTTCTGTGCAGCTGAAGTATAGAAGAGAAAGGCTTTTCCTTTCAGCTTCTGATGAGTTACCCAAGACAACTTATGAAAATGAAAAAATATTAGTTGAAAATAGTCTCTTGATCTTCTTGAAAGATGGATGAGTCTTATGCAGCACCTGTGATGCCCAGTCCAGTATTGCTTGGCTAGCAGACACTCTATGATTACAGGCAGAGAGGGGTTTTGTTCCTTATTGAACAGTTCAGCCAACAGCCTGATCCATCTGTCATGCATCCGATTATATGAGGCTGTTTTGACTCTTGGCAACACAACAGATCTTCTCTTACTAATAATTAGAAGATGAGCATATGAAACATAAACATATCTTTACAGTTAACTGTTCTTAACCTAAATTGACAGGTCTGCATGTAGTGATAGCATGCGGTGATATTTTGTCAAATAAGCTCTTCGTTACCAAGTAATAGGATCACTGTGGAGCTATTAGGGTCTCATAGTTGCAGGATTTGTCCCCTTCTGAAAAGAAACAACAGATGCAAGAGGACTTCTCTTGTGTTGCAGAAGTGCAAGCACTGCACATTAGCAGTGAAGACATTTGTCAAGACTTTCAGGCCTAGCTGATTAAAAAAAAAAAAAAAAATTAAAAAAACCCCAATGATTAGGGACATGGAGAGTCTGTCTTCTAGTGTTGAATACACAGGGATTCCTAATTTTAATGGAAAACAGATTGATTAGGCTTCTCACAGAGGGACAGTCTTGAAATTCTTGGTAGTGCATCTTTGAACATGAAATGAAGACATTAGTGGATGATTAAGACCTTTACAATTGATTGCCAAAGCAATCTTGTGAACTTGGACATCTCTTTAATTAAAGCTTAAGTGCAAAATGCCTTAATCCCTTCGATCACTTGGAATGCTCTAAATACCTAATTTGCTGCTGCTCTGGATGGTGTTTACAACTGGAGTAAGAATAGCTATTAATTTCTAAACTTCCACTTCAGCAGTCTTGCCGTATCAAAGACTTCTGATACTTCAGGCACCTCCAGCGTAGCAAGAAACTGCTACAGACAGTTTAGCCTCACATTTTGTATATCAAATATTATTGGTATTAATAATGCATATTGACAAACATCAGTTTCAGAAAATGTGAATATTTTATAATTGACCTTACCTATGTAGAGTAAGCATGCTAAATTCTGGGTAAAATTTGTGTGAGGAATTGTCTGTAAGGAAGACAGTACATAGGCTAACTGTACTGAATATCCTCACTGAATATTATTTGAATCCCCGTTGTTCATCTAAGATATTACTACCTAAAAGTGAGGTTGGCACCAGCATCAATAGCCAAGGATGGGTGCCTGAAATTGCTGTATCTTTAGCCAAGCTGTAGAAGAACTGTGCTACTTGGAAACTTCTTACTGCTGTTATAGTGCATCTTAAATTGACGAATTATAAATGGTCATTTCCTACTTTCATCCCAGCTTTCAAATATTGTAGTTTAAAAGTGTAAGTGATCTCTACAATTACAGCAATGCATTCAAATGGTCATTCATGTCTGTATACATTTCCTGACTTTTCCTTTGACGATTACAGTATTCAGGTCAATGTTAGCAGATAATAATGGTGTAATGTGTAAGCTGCACTCTTTGTCCTTTCTAAGTAAATCTGGCAGTGCGCCTGCTATATACTCAGCTCAGCCTAATGCATAACTTCACATTCAAGTTCTAAGATTTAGGGATTAAAAAAGAGAATCTGGAACAGATAAACAGAAAAAAAAAAAACATTTAATAATGTTTTCTGTATGCTATATGGATACTTTACAAAATACTTCAAGCTTGGTGATTAAAACAGACGCACTTACAACTTCTTCTGTGTCGTCAAAGCTTAATTCACTCAAAGATACAGTAGACTGGTAATATATACTTAAAGTGAAGAATTAGAACAAACTTACTTTGCCAAGCTGTGCTGTAGCTGGGATTTTTTTTTTATTTCTCACCTTTTTTGACCTCTTATCTTAGATGCAGGAAGAAGCAACCAGCTGAATCTGGTACCCGAATTTATCAGTGAGTGAGAGGCCTTCTGTACTACAAATGGCCAGTTCAATCCGGGGATGACTTTAAAAAGTATTTTGTACAGGGTGCTTTGGGAAAAGCCTGTTTGCATTGTTATGCACTTGGTGAGAAATTTTTTGTTTTTCCATAGCTAACCCCTCATACCTCTGCACCTGAGCATCGTAGTCCCTGACCAAAAGGCAAGCTCTGTCAGCCTGTGTTGTAAAAGCCTTATGCGAACAAGTGACCTAAAGTGTGAGAGAGGCAGTAGCAGCAGTTCAGCTCAAAAAGCCACGTGGCAATCTGCAGACACAGACACTCTTACATGTTCAAAGTTTATTTCACACTGCAAAATTCTTCTCTTTACAAAAGCAAAACAGGATAAAGCCTGGTCAGTTTAGTGCCTTCTCACTCACAAAAGCAAATGTTACTCTATCCAGAAGATCTGCAGGTAGAAAATGTAAGTGTGATATGCAGATTCAAGAAAACACTAGTTAGATCACTTCATGTTTTCTTACAACACAGGAAAGCAAAGGTGGCTTCTCAACACGAGCAATTTCAGAATTGTATTTGTAAATACTAAATTTCAAACTAGTGCTGTTTTAACTTTTCTTCCCACTTCCCGATTATTCGTCGGTGGGCTAAGTTTGCAAAGGACTTGACATCTTTCACAATGAAACTTTAGTATTTTGCCACCCCACTGGTGTGATGTTGTCAGTATTTTATCTGACCCCTCTAATCATTATAGACAGCGTCCTCTTCAGTGCCTATGTGTAGTTCCTTGTTTAACAACCTTTCCTAGTAATGTCATAAAATGTGTGTTAATATCCCGGGGCAGTGTAAACAATTGGAAACGTAAGTGGGGAACTTTGACCAGCTCGGCATTGTTTCAAAGTCAGTTTTGTCTCATGAAGAATTACAGTTTGTCTTCAGAGCTTCAGGAAATTCCTTATGCCCAAAAGTAGCAGCATAGGCACAATAAACAGGATTCAATCCTTGCAATTAATTTTTTAATGTAATACTGTAATTAGACATTAAATTTATTATGTTGAAGGATGCTAATGGCTGCTCTGTCTGTAATAGGAGACTTGCTGTAGCCAAAATACAGGTGTCCTTCAAGATCATGATCATTTCCTTTATGGGTTGATCTTAGAGGCTTGGTTGGTTGGTTGTTTTTAAGAGTGGTAGAGGCTTTCGATTTTATTAATTAGCCACAAAAATGTGTTCGTGCTCAGCATGAAAGCATACTCTTTTTTTACTTTGACCTTGGCTAGCAGAGCCGAAATCTTAACAGGTCAAAACAGCTCCATCAGACACTGCTGCTTTCATGTCTAATTAGCTTTGCAAGTCAGGATGTTTCTGCAGTAGTCACAAACATTTTACCTTTTAGGTTTCTTCTCGCTTTCCTTGCCAGTGCTTTCTCCTGAGGTAGAATTGTTATTTTTGTTATGAGACAGTCCTTGGCTAACACTCAATGGTTTCCAATTCAATCTCTTCAGTTGTACTTGCTGCAAATAAAAGGATATTATTATTGATTGGCAAATGGATTGGAAGGCCAGCATTCCAAAATTAACAACGCTGTGTTAATAGCTGAGACATTTTGAACTTTTTAATATTAGCTCAAGCTTACTCATCTATAATTAGGTTTCAAATACATCTTTTCAAAATATTTAACTGCATAAAGAGTCCCTCACAATCTTTAAAAGTGACACTGGTTTCTTCCAATACAAGACTAAAGGCGCTATGAAAACTGAAGTCCATAGGGCCAGTCCTTATACCTTTCTTCGTGACTTTTGAGAGCAGGGCTCTAAGGTGGAATCGGGGCAGAAGTTAGGTCCCTGCTTTGGATCATGTTCTAGGCAATGACAGAGGAAGTCTCCAGAACTGCGGTTTTCCTGAAGTCTGCCAAATAAGTGTATTTGATTCAGACTTTGTAGAACTCTGGCTCTGTAAGAAGATTGGCTTTAACTGGAGGAAGGAAAGGCTTTATCCAAACAAAAGCCTGTATATTCTGGCATGACAGGAAAATTTTCAGTACCTACAGACGCGTTTGAGCGGTGTGTGCACCGTGAAAACAGCAGCAGCCCTTAGAGCTGTAGGTGAGCAGCAGAAAAGAAGAGACAGCTCAAGCCAAATTCAACTCTTCCCATATCAGGTTTTTCAGAGTTGACACGAAGTCTGGGCCATGAGGCTTAGGATTCTTGAGTATCTGTGTTGATCTAGTAAAATACTGATACTCAGGCTGCTTGTTGTAATGTAACAGCTTAAGCAGTGCTTATTAGAGAAGGAATACAGACCTTTTACCTACAGGGCAAGAAACCACTACTGGATCTGTACTTACAAAGAAGGGAGGTAAATGCCTGAAACGTTTTGAAGTGGTAAAAGAAACCTCCTATTCCAAGGATGCGCCCAGAGCTTGAGCCCAGGCCCGTAACGTGGCACCTTGTCTTGCTGCCTAGGCTGTATGTCCCTGGCTGTGGCTTGGAAGTTTCTTCTCTAATATGTGAATGTTCCCTTCAGTGCAGCCCTTGATCTGCTTTTCATGACTGGTGTCTTTGGCACGTGTTAGGAGTCTGCTTTTGATACTAGTCAGTGTTCGTTGAAATCCGCAACTGAATCAAATGTGAGGACAGATGAAAGGGGGGTTTGAGAGGACAAGTAGTGCAGTCCTCCATGAAGTGAGGTGGGAGTCACTCCCAAGGGCCATTTGCGTATTTTCCCCTAGGAGATACCCTTCTGGTGCAGACACTGAGAGTGTTGCTGATGCTCTTGACTTTCTCCTGCCCTCTGATGGGGGGTTATTGCAGCTCTGGCCTTTTCTCCCCAAGTTTTGCAGTTAGCCATGCTGGGAAGTGTTTTGTGGTTTCTGATGTAAAATGTATAACGTAGATGTCCCGTGGATTGTTCTGCAACTAAATAGCTATTATTCAGTTGCCTCTGCTAGTAAAGAGTTGAACAGGATAACTGAACTGAGCCCTTCCAGTCTTGTTTCTCAGTGTCCCTGCTTAGCACTTTTATCGCTCAAATCACAAGTGAATTTTAAGCTCAAAATTCAGACTTGAAAACCCTATACCTTGATTGCATTCTTAGAGAGATACCTGTTAGTTTGTGTGTCGTCTTCTTCTGGAATAGATGCAGAGATTTATTACACAGCCACATGAAGCAGATCAAAATGGCAGATACTGCAGCGAGAAATGCAAAAAGAACTGCTACAAAATGTAGATCTTCATAGATAACCTCTGCAGGGAGGACAGAAAAAAATTAGTATTATAAAACTGATTACAAGCAGATTAATATTTAAACACAGGGTGAAGCCAAGAACTCCCATCTAGTTTGTACCATAAACGTTGACTATGATGGTGCCGTAGGTGTTGGTTCCATACTCCTCTGTTACAGTGATAAAATAGTAGCCGGCATCTCTCATGCCCACATTCAGAAGCTGTATAGAGCCATTTTCAAAAGTAGTCACTCTGTCCTTGTACACCGTGGATATGTTGACATAATTCCCACTTTTCCACTCAACAATTTTCGTGGTGCCCAAGCTTGACACATGCTTCCACTCAATGGTGGCAACGCCTCTGCAAGAGTATTCAACGGAGAGCAAGATGTTTTGTGCCACTGTTGCGTTGATGTTGGGTTGTGGGACGACTAATGATACTACTCCAGGAGCTGAAAGACAAAGGAGGGCAATGAGTGACGAGGTGACCAACTGTCCCAGCAGGATGGGACCTCTGAGGGGCAATTTGTTCTACCTCTTTCAGCAATCTGTTTTAAGAGAGGATGGATTATGCTCTGCAGTTTCTCTTTCTACTGACCATAAAAGGAACATACATAGACAATTAAAGACTAGATATACATTTTTAATTGGTAATAGTCAGGAGGAACATTTCCACCATATATGACAAGTAATTGCATGTGTTTTAGTGTTTTGATACCAAGAGGAGAGGGTTTGGAAGAGTCTTTTTGGGGAAGGGAGCGTAACATTTTCTGAAAACGCTGAGCAATGCTTTCATATTCATCAGTAACTGGCTTTTCTTTAAAATCCTGCATTTAAATGGAAAGTTTAATCGCCATGGCCAAGGTAACCTATTATATTAATTAATTACCATCCCCCAAAAGCAAAAACTTTAGCAGGCTTAAGTATGTGAAGACTTGGCAAGGACTTCATCATGTTTTCAGGATGCGTAATCAACGTTTGAGACAACAGCTTTGTAAAGGCAGCCAGTTATATGCCAGTGCAGATAAATTGCACGTAATTAAAGGTACCCAGTTTCACATGAAGTCAGGGACATCATGTTCCTGATGATTTCCAGGCAAAAATGCATGTGACAGTATTTAATTCTCACCTAGTTCCTACTGATGTGATTATGGAGCTGTTCATAACACCGTGAAACTGAACTGACCATTTAGTTTAATGTGTAACTGCAATAATTTCTGCTTGCATGTGGGTATTTCTGCATGAAGATTTGGATGAACATCAAACATCCAAGTTTCAATTGGCATACTTTTTTTTTTTTTTAATAATTAGTGGCATGTTTGAGACACTTGGCTAGAGACTGAAATCCTGTTATCTACCCACAAAAATCAAACCAGACAAAAGGCAGATAAAGCACAGAGTAAGCCTCACTGCTGAATGCCTTTTCCTGGTTTGGCTTGGAGCAGCTCACCCGCTCTCCTCTAATACTGTGGGAAGAGCCCGACTGCCACAGCAGAACTGAAAAAATAATGCTGAGCTGCAAATGTCTCTAACCCAGCAGGGAGGGAGGACGAGACCCTCAGCTACGCTGAAGGAGTGCAAAGCACCCCTGGGGATGCTCCTGGAGATTCTGCAGAGACTTCAGGGAAAAGAATGATTAAAAAAGGCAAAGAAAAAAAAAACTCCAAGGGAAAGAAATTATTTTTAAAAATCTTATTAAAAAATAAGACACACACCCCCCCCCTAGTCACCAAAACCCCAGAGCAACTACAAACGGGGAGAGATGGGTAACTGAATTACAAGCCGACTCCACTCTATTTGCGATCTGTAGCAGAATTCAGAAACTCTGCTGGGCAAGGTAAGTCAGGGAAGCTTGAGAAGCCAGTGTGATTCCCAGGTCCTCGCCTAGGACCAGCACAGCAGAAAGCCCCAGCCTCTATACATTTGTTAACCAGATGGGATCTAGGCTTTTTCCAGGATAAGACTCCTGAGATTCCCCCTTCATGGATATCTTGTCATGTCCCTTGCAGGGACACCACGCTCTCCGGGTAGCCTGGTGCATCCTCAGCTAGGCTGTGGTCTGCCGTTCAGCCTGTGTGCAGGAGAGACTAACCAGAGCTGTGAAAAAGGGGGTTGTGCCAGCTAGAGAAACAGAACAGACGGGAACCTCTGATAATCACTGCAAATTGTTCTAATTGTTTTCTGCTCCGGGTGTTTATTTAAAGGCCTTTTGCTCTGTTTCTGACTAGACAGGAGCTGAGTGTCTCACCACAGTGACCCTTTTGTTTTGATAAAGGCATGGCTTTGTTTTGAATATGTGATTGCAAGGTAAATGTAAAAAAAAATATAATCCTTCCATTAAATTATTTGCAAACGTGTTCTGTGCCTATCCAGCACACAAAGCCAAAAAAGGCAATGCAATAATCATTCAAAAATATTTTTAATATGCAGTCCGCCTAGGTCACCTGAACTGGTCTAATCCAAACAGAGCTGCATCAGCCTTGAGAGCAAACATCACACCCACCTGCAGCGCCCTGCACAGGGCCACTGCGCCCTGCTGGTTGCAAAACCAGACCCTTCACGCCCAGTAAAACATGCACCGAGGAGAAGAGGGTACCGGTGCCGCTGGAAGTGCGGCGAGTTTGCTGTCCCTGGCACGCCGCTGCACTCCGAAGTATTCGCCTAGCCGAGAGTCAAAGCTGGAAGCGTGGCTCTACCAGACCTGGCCGTAGCCACGCAGCCGGGCCTGCAGCGTGCTGGGGAGGGGGTGGAAAAGGGCTGGCAGCGAGGAACCTCCACGCAGGAGCTCTAAAATGGGAGGGGGGGGG